GCACGTGTGTGTGTGTGTGTGTGGAAGAAGGCAGGTTGCCTTGGGTTCAGTGGCCTCAGAATCCTTCTCTGTTGGGAATTTCAAACAGCCTCTCACTCCAAGTCATTTTTAATCCCTGTTAGCAGCGGTCTTCCTTCGGGAGACCGTCCTGGATTTTGGATTGATTGTAAAGACACTCAAAAGGCTGTGCAGTAGGTAGAATGCAGTATTGCTGGCTAACTTTGCCCGCTGCCAGGCGTTTGATCCTGACCGGCTCAAGGTTGACTCAGCCTTCCGTCCTTCTGAGGTTGGTAAAACGAGGACCCCAAATTGTTGGGGGCAGGAGGCTGACATTTGCAAACCACTCAGAGAGGGTTGTAAAGTGGTATATAAACCAAAGTGCTATTTTTATAGCTATTAAAGGTTGGAAAACCTCATATACTCCAGGTTTACAAATCAAAGGGCTTAGACACACCCAGTAGCGGGAACAGGGAAGGACCTTGGCAGACAGAAGGAAGTGAGGGGTTTTCAGTGAGGAGTTCCCTCTTCCTTCCAGACGTTTCATAACCAAACTAGGTCACATCGTCAGTGCTAGAATGAGCAATCCCCCCACCCCCTTCTAGCACTGATGAAGTTCCCTAGTTGGGTCATGAAACATCTGCAAGAAAACCACCCAGCTCAGAGAGCACCAAGCAGCCCTCATTTCAACCCTGAGCTACAAACATTCTCCTTTATTAGTACAGGAAGGGGGGTGCTACCAGTGCAATGGTCAGATAAATGGGGATTTGAACCCTGGCCAAGAGAATAACTTGCAAGATCCTGTTACTATACCTGTTACCATAAAAATAATCCAGATTTAAATGGCCTGGGTTTCTTAGTCTGGTTTACCTCGTAGGTCTGATAGGAAATAGTGTGGTGTGTGAACCTCCACCAAAATAATTGAATAATCAACCTGGTGTGTACAATCCTAACTTGGACAAACCCTTCATGCATTCAAGTCTAGCCTTGTCCTTCTCTTCCCAGGGATGAGAAACAGTTCTGAAGTGGCCATAATCCTTGATATTCCCAAGGCGCTGGCAGGTGAGTGAAGACCAACCTTGTACAGCAGAAGACAGAAGGAAACCTTTAATTTAACAGCTTGCCTACAGCGAGTGCTCCATCTTTTTAAGCTTTTAAGGAGAGATTGGGCAGCCATTTGTCTGAAAATGGTGTAGGGTCTCCGGTTGGAGCAGTGGGTTGTATTCCAAGAGCCGTTCCAACTCTGTGACTCTGCACTCTCAATCACCTTCCATTGCTTACTTCTCTGAGCAGAATGGGGTTGCAGGAATTGGGTTTGTCTAGTCTAGTGAAAAGAAGGTGTGACGTGATAGAAGCCTGCCAGTATTTGAGGGGCTGCCCCCCAAGAAGAGGGGGTCAGCCTGCTCCCCAAAGCAGTAGTCGCCAACCAGTGGGCCGGGGACCACTGGTGGTCCGTGTTAGGAATATGAGTCACCTAACAGGTATTTGGGTTAGAAATATATAAACCCGGATAAACATTTTAAAACTGTAACTTTAAGAAAATGCAAAAGTGTAATTAGGTGTGGTTTCTCAAACGGCCATAAGATGGAGCCAGAAACCTGGGTTGTTTCAGTCTGGGTCTCAGAAGAGAGCGTGAGTGTATCTCTGTTTCCTTCTGTTGGAAAGTATTGCCGTTCCTCCATTTCTTTTAATTGATTGATATTACTGGATTTAATGTAAGTCTGATACTGAACTGTTTTTTGACCCTGGACTTTGATATTTGGATTATCCCTGGATTGAAAAACTGACTGATTTACCTGTGAATGATTTTGGACTGCCTATTTTGGACTTTGCTTAACGTTTCTGGAAGTAAAAACCTACATTTACTGTACAGTGTATCTGAGTGCTGTACGTGTATTATTCAAACACTCCTCTCAAATACGTCTCCCTGTATGCGCTCATTCTCCTAACGGGGAATTACCTCAACAGTCCGCGAAGAAATGTTGGTGGTCCGCAGAGAAATGTCCCCCCCACAAGCAACTAAACCAGGCTGCGCAGGAACACGAGGCTGCGCCGCCCACATGGCCCGCAGGAACACAAGGCTTGCGTCACTTGCATAGTGAACAACACGAGGTAGCGAGGGGAGGGGGGAAAGGGCAGAGGGAGGGGAACTTGCCCCACTAGCCCCACACACCTGGCCTGGCCACCTGTCTGCTTCTTTCCACTTCTTTCTTCTGCTTTGGGCTACACGCAAGGAAAGCAGCCAAAGTCTTTCTTTGTCTCCCCCAAACTCTGCCAGAAATGAGTCTTTGGGACCCTGCAAGGCCTCCTGCTCCAAGAGGCCACGCCGGCAAAGACTCATTTCTGGAGGAGTTTGAGGGAAAGAAAGAAAGAGTTCTGCGGCTTCTGCTGCTTTCCTTGCATGAAGCCAAAAGTCTCTCCCTTTCTCTCTCTCTCTCTCCCCCTGAGAACAGAGCTGGAGACGGTATCCTGCGATCCCAAATAAAGAACGATCGATCGGTAGGAAAACGGGGTGGGGAATTTTCCTGCAAACTTTTTTGGGGGGGATTTTCCCAGGGTCTCTGGTCCGCGGGATTTAAAATGATGAGTTTGGTGGTCCCTGAGGTCCAAAAGGTGGGCAGCTCCTGCTCCAAAGCCCCCGAAGGCAAGACAAGAAGCAACAGATGGAAACTAACCAAGGAGAGAAGCAACCTGGAACTAAGGAGAAAGCCAGTGGAACTACTTGCCGCCAGAAGTTATGGATGCTTCATCCCTGGAGGCTTTTCAGAAGAGATTTGACAACCATTTGTCCGAAATGATGTAGGGTTTCCTGCTGGAGCAGGGGGTTGGACTAGACGACCTCCAAGGTCCCTTCCAGCTCTGTTACCATACTGCCTTCTTTCCTGGTGCTGAAGGTGGAATGTGCAGGCGGGCGGGTGGTGGGAACCAGTCTGAAATCCTGGGAGAGGGGCCTCAACTTGTCTGCCTGTCTTTTAGAGGCAGGGGAAGAAACGACGCGGGTTCTTTGACTCAGAGAAGTTCTGCTTTCCCCACAGATGGGATCCCTTTCTTCCGCTCGGCTAACGGAGTCATCCTGAGCCCAGGCAACGCAGACGGGCTGCTGCTTCCCCGATACTTCAGCAGAGCACTGCAGCTTCGACCTCGTCGTAAGTCTGAAGCTTCTTCTAGGTCTTAGGCCCCGTTCAGGGCTCTGCAGGTTCAAGACGCTCGTGGATAAAACCAGCAGTTTGAAGTCGTGTGTGTGTGTGTGTGTGTGTGTGTCTTCAGTGTAGGCCAGTGATGGCAAACCTTTTTGTTATGAAAGCATCTGGGTGCCGGCACCCCTAATGCAATGCGCCCTGCCCCCTGCACATGTGCCCATTTGAGGCTGTTTGAGGGAAGCCTCTGCAGCCTCGGGAGGCCGAAAAACAGGCCTGTTTCAGCACTTCCAGTATTTCCAGAAGGCCTGTTTTTCGGCCTCCCGAGGCTGCAGAGGCTTCCCACGAGCCTCCAGGAGGGCGAAAACAGCCTCAAACGGGCCAGAAATCAGCCGAGAGTCACACACATCTGCAGTGTGGGTAAGTTTGGCGGGGGCTTGCTTGCCCACACAAAGGGCTCTGTGTGCCACCTATGGCACGCCTACCATAGGTTCACCATCACGGGTGTGGGCCGTAGAGGGGGTTTCCACCTGGAAACAGCTGGTCTCACCTGGACTTTCCAGGCAGCTCGCCATTACAGTTTGTCCTTACGACTTACGACCGCAACCGGGCCCAGAATTCCTGTGGCTTAAGTAAGACCTTTGGGAAACAAATGTATGATCTGTTAAGGGACTCAACTGCAGTTGTGAAATTAGTGACAACGGTCGTTCAGCGAATCTGGCTTCCCCGTGGACCCTGCTCATCAGAAGGTGGCCAAAAAGTGGATCCTATAACCCCGGGATAGTATAATGGTCATAAGTACCAGTCAGTTTTGCCAAGCGTCTGAATTTTGATCGGGTGACTGTGGAGCAACGGTCGTTCAGTGTGAAAAAAACAGCCATCGGTCGCTTTTCTCCCCCCCCCCCCGCCCCAGTGCTGTTGTAACTTCAAATGGTTACTAAATGAACTGTTGTAAGTGGAGGACTACTTGTATTATGCCGGGAATAACGCCCCTATCTGGGCCTTCCGCTCTTTTTCTCTCCCCAGGCGTCCTTCTGCCTCTTGAGTGACCGTTCCCGACAGGGATCTCTTCCCTTCCTTCCTTTCGTCCCAGAGACACCCATGGATCACATACGTGTGTCTCTTTGAACACGTCACTAAACCAGGAACCTCACTATTCGAATTAAAACAGGTGTCAACTTTCTCTTTTTCTCCTCCCCGTGGGAAATATATCTCCAGTCCCATTCAGGTAGCCTTCGACCTTGGACCCTAACGGAGCCTAAAATTCCTGTGGCTAAGCGAGGCGGTTAAGTGAGTTTTTCCCCATTTTACGACCTTCCTTGCTACAGTTGCACAGTGAATCATGACAACCTCGCGTTGACGACCATCACAACGCACACGACCCCCCCTGGGCACGTGATCTCAATTGGGCGCTTTGGCCACCGGCTTGCATTTGCAAACAGTTGATGTGTGTCCTACAATCCCACGGCCACAATACGTGGCCCTTTTATAATAACAGTTTTCGGAAAAAAAAATAAAAATGGAACAATCGGTCCGCACTTTTGATGATGGAATTTGCTTATTGGCCACCATAAAAACAGCCCTAAAAATTCAGGTCTGGCTTGGCTTCCAACTGCAACGACTGAGGGTGGAAATTTTGGTCTCAATTGTGGTCGTAAATCGAGGACTACCTGTAAATGGGGGGAAGTGGGTACATGAAACTGCCTCCTCCCAATCTAGACAAACCCTGAGAAAGAATATTCACGTTGGGAAGGAAGCATTTTTGTGAAAAATCCTCTTTATAGCCTCTCGAAGACGGTTAACACAAAAGCACTCAACACAATCCACATACACATACACACACACACACACACACACACACACACACACACTCCCTTTTTGGCATTTTTGGCTCCCGTACAAAAATAACAAAAGAAGTACCGGTCTCCCCAACTTGCATTGGGTAAATCCCTGAGTTACTCGGAGGAGGAAGGAGTAAATATTATCCTTCTTGGCAAGATATTTAAAATAGTAAAATTATCTTAACTCTGCTGTGTAGTCCTGGTTGTGAACTCTCAAATAGCCTGCTGTGAAACACTAAAAAAACAAAAAACAAAAACAAAAACCAACACAACCACACTTAATTCGTCCTTATGGTCTTCTGCTTGAGCAGGGGGTTGGACTAGAAGACCTCAAATGTCCCTTCCCACTCTGTTACCGTACTGTATTCTCTCCTCCCTCCCTCCTTCTCATAATTCTTCTCCAAGTCTTTATGGATGCCTGGACTCCATTAAGGGCCTCCCACGTCTCCTGTAGAACATAGACAGCCCGTTGTGGAGATCAGCTGCTCCTTGGAGAAGGGAAGGCCGTGGTCGGAGAGACATCAGAGGGCTTCGTGGCCCCCCGTCAACTTGTGGAAGAGCTCTTCGTCCAGCGTCTGGCTCCGGTCAGCTGTCCGGGTGGACAGGAAGATATAACCCCCGATGTATTCGTGGACCGTCTTGCAGCCGGCCGAGATGCAGCTGAAAGCCACGTTGATGTGCTCATCGAATTCAATGGCCACCTGAAGAAAAACAAACAGAGGAAGACAGTTGGTGTCAGGGGTAGAAGACCAGGTTCATCTCTGGAGTTGCGACCAAATCGCTTTATTGCTGAGAGCCTCTGCGCAGGAACCTTTTCCATTTAACAGTCGGTCCCTGCTTGGAGTTAAGGCTCAACTGAATCCAAGGGAGGTTGGACTTAGTTTTGCTTGTGGCTACATAGGGATGCTAAGCTGATGTCTCCTTTGACTCCGTCCCCGGTTGTCCCATCCCATTTTCCTACAGTTGCTGTGGGCATCTTGAGACGCTGGTGGTTGGTTTTCTTTAAGCCACCGATGTGGAAAGGAGAGATTTGTCAGAGCGTTGGCAGTTGTTGGAACGTTTAAATTGGGTTGCAAGTAGCTCTGGGGAGACCTGTTGTAACTTTGAACAGGTTGTAAGTAACCCGTCTGAAGTCAAGGATTAGCTATACGGGGGCGGGGGGGGGACTCGAGTCCCTTGCGATGGGGCTGACAATGAGTACAGGTAGATTGTGACTTACGACCACAAATTAGGCCCCAAATTTCTGCCGCTGAGTGAAGCAGTTCAGTGAGTTTTGCCGCATTTTATGACCTTTCTCACCGCATTCGTTAAGTGAATCAACTGCAGATGTCAAGTGAGTCACACGGTTGTTAAGTGAGCCCGGCTTCCCCGCTGCTGCTCAGAAGGTCGCAAAAGGAGATCATGTGACCCCCAGGGACACTGCGACGGTCATAAATACGAGCCAGTTGCTAAATGTTGGGAATTTTGATCACATGACCACGCGGATGCCACAACGGTCATTAAGTGGGAAAGAAATGGCCTTAAGTCCCCTTGTTCAGTGCCCTTGCGACGTCAAATGGTGACTAAGTCAAGAGCTACCGTAGTCCCCACATATCGGCCACTGTTTCTGGGATGGGCCAACTGAACAGCGTCCAAATCCACTTTCAAGAGTACAAATCCTCCCCTCCTTCGGCGGGGGCTCACCTGGCGAATGTCCCAGTTGACGTTCCACTGACGCATGTTGCTGTACCGCCACGTCTTCACCACATCCCCGACGGCCATGTCGATCCGGATCAAGCGGTTGTTGGCGATCCCCAAGATTTCGTCTTTCCTGCTGCCTTTGAACCTGCGTGCGAGACGCGGGAGCCCGTGAAGGCTCCCATCCTCCCCATCAGGAGACGCTTCCTGGTTCAAAACCTAAAACCGGCCTTCCTTCTGGTTGTCACAAAGAGCCAAATATCTGGCCTTTCTTAAGCGACAAGGCGCCAAACATCTGGGCCATGTCATCTTTAAGGATAAAATCAATGCTCATTTTTCCAAGAAAAATGGCTGCTCCAAGGTGAGTGAGGTGCTATTTTATCTAGATCAAGGGTCTCCAAACCGGGCAAGTTTAAGACTTGTGGACTTCAACTCCCAGAATTCCTGAGCTAACATGGCTGGAGGAGGAGGAATTCTGGGAGTCGAAGTCCACAAGTCTTAACGCCGTCAAGTTTGAAGATCCCTGATCTAGATTATTGTGACGTTGATTTCTCTACTCCTGCTTTCTGTTGGAGTGGAAAATAACAAAGCAGTTTGCAAAAATGAAACAAAGCAACAGAACTCGCTATTGAAGGAAGTGGGTCTATTTAACCCCAAAAAGAGAAGACTTGTGCGTGAACGGGGGAAACAGGGTGTATGAAAGGGGATGTGATACTGTGCTGTTTTCGGAATTCAGGATGGAGAACACTCAATTACAGAAAGAGGAATTAGGAAATTAGAAGAAGAAGAAGAAGAAAAGGAAAGAAGTACAGTTGTGAGTGGTCTAGACATCGCTAAGAGAAGATGTGTTCAGGGGCTGGACATCCCTGGGGATTCTGAAATTTGGATTCCTGTTCTAGGCCTAGGATGGGAGTTGAAGATTTCGGGATCTCTTTTCCCTTCCTTAATTTGGAAGTCATCCCAGATCCCCCCTCTTGATCCAAAGTTCCATCCCACCCCCAGCTCACCAAGATAGGTAAGAAGCATGTAGATTTCAGGAAGGTTCCTTGGGAAGGGAAGGGAAGGGAAGGGAAGGGAAGGGAAGGAAGGAAGGAAGGAAGGAAGGAAGGAAGGAAGGAAGGAAGGA